CGATCGGAAGAAAGAAGGCAAAATCCATTGCCTCTGGTTCGGGAGGGTCCGCCTCTATTTCCGCTTCTCCCCGCGACAAAATCGGCCGGGCAATGATTGAACAACTTCGGGCGTTCAATCTCCAAGAACAAGAGAGGATGAAGCTTAAAGAGAAGGAGTTGAAGCTAAAGGAGCAGGAGGCCGAGATGAAAGTCATGCAAACCGACCCCGCGACGTTGTCGGAGTTTGGACGAATTATCTACGAGCAAAGAATGAGAGAGATCAAGGAGAAATATAATTTTCCTTAGTTTTTTTATTAATGTATCTTTTTTTTAAATTATTGTCGCTTTTTTTTATTTAATTAATGTGTTTTTTATTATTCGTGTTTCAATTTAATTAAATAAAAAATTAAGTACATTTTATTAATTTAATTTTAGAAGATGTATATTTAAAAATGTAAAAAATGAAGGTTTGAAGCCCAGTTTTGAAGCCCCGGGGCTTCAAACCCATTTCCAGTGAATTTTGGGTGTAAGTTAAAGCTGACGTGGCAGAGTGAGAAAGTTTGAAGCCCCGGGGCTTCAAACGTATTACCAGTGCTCTTAGTGAAAGTCATTATATTTTAGTGCTATTTACGTAAATTCCTCAAATTAATAATCAAAGATTTTCTACTCCCAAACAGTTCCTATTTTGACTTTTAGGAGAAATAAGGAGTGTATATTGGTGGTTGGCTTTCCAATTTTTCCCTTGATGCGATGAGTGAAAATAAGATGTGATGGATAAATTATTAATCAAAAAGTATGATGTATTAGGTACCGTAAAAAAAAATATGAGTAAAGTGGCTTTTTGATAGAAAGTGAAAGTGTTTCGGTAAAAGGGAAAAAAATGAAAGAGAAAGTGTTTTAAAAAACGGATGGAATATTAAAAAAGTCGATACGGGAAAGAATTTGTGTATATTTCTAAATCTACGTACCCAACGATAGCGAGGAGGAAAAACTGAGCTGCAAGCTTCCAAGAGAGAGGGGGGCGATCTTTCCTGGAAAAAACGGAAACGTTTTGAAAATATCATCTGACAGTATTAATTTAATTCAAAGTTAATCTCTAATATAGATGATGATTATATGTATAAAAATACTTTTCGAGGAAAAAGGCGAAGGGGAGGAGGAGGAGGAGGGCGAGGAGGTTGCGGTAGACGGGGAAAACGATCTTGCTCATCCCCATGTTGAGGGCGGCGCGTGAGACGACATGGAAGCCGGCGTAGCCGAACTGGAGAGCAAGCATTGCCGCGTGAAGCTGCACCTTCTCCGGGATCCCCACTCCCATCACTCTTATCATTCTCTTTGTCGTCTCCCCCGCCGCCTCACCCATTATATTATTGCTGCTATATACCTAGCTAGCTTCTCTGGTTGTGGGTTTGATAGTGGTGATTTCAGAGGGGAGAGAGTGCTGCTGCTATATTTATATATAGGCTCCATATACTACTGCTTGCTTCCGTACATGCCTAAAAACTTTTACTCCTCCGTACCTAAATAAAGTTCCTCTTTCGTTTTTTCTTTGTCCCTAAATAAACTTCTCTTTTCCCCTAAAAAACCTCTTTTACCCCTTACTTTTTCATACCCTACCTATCACATCATACCTTTTTACTAATAATCTACCTATCACATCTTACTTTTACACATCACATCAAGGGTATTTTTGGAAAATCAACACTAAAATATCCCTCCCTTAATTTCTCCAAAAGTCAAAAAACGGAACATTATTAAGGGACGAAGGGAGTATTTTTTTATATTAATAATCAATAATAGGTTTGATGTGACACTTCAGGTAAGAATTACGGAGGAGTAGTATGTACTCCATCCATCCCGGAGTATTCGTCCAGTTTTAACTTTTGGAATTATTCATCTAAGCACTTTGACTCATCAAATTCTCTCAATGTGTAAGCCTAAATATAGTCATGTATGATCTTGTTTGATTTGTCTTAACATATAGATTATTAATATATAATTTCTATAATTTTTTAATATACAAATTACAAGATAAAATGGATTAAAGAAGTGCATTGGATGGTGTGTAAAAATGAAAGTGGACAAATACTCTGGGACGGAGGTAGTAGAATACAAAATACTCTGTCAATTTTAAATTTTAAATCAATTACACTTTACGCAATACGAAGTAAATTTTAAATTTTTTCAATTTATTTTATTTAAAAATTGATATATAAATAATAAAAAACTTACATATTTAAAACATATACTCCCTCCGTCCCTGAAAACCTTTCTCCTTTCTTTTTTCATCCGTCCCAAAAAACACTTCTTATTTCTATTAAAAAGTCACTTTTATCCCTTACTTTTTCATACCCTACCTATTGCATCATACCTTTTTACTAATAATCTACCCATCAAATCCTACTTTTACCCATTAGAAATCATCCTAAATAGGACTAAAACATAGAGAAAAGTACCAAAATAGGACTTTCATGTTTTTTTTCTCGGAATAGGACTTTGTTCTGTGGTAATGTGACTTTGCATTGTGGTAATGTGGCAGTGTACATGTGCAGATTACTATACTTTTTTGGTAATGTATATGACCATGTTTGGTAATGTAAGTCCTATTTCGGGAATAAAAATATGGAAGTCCTATTTTGGTATGTTTTCAATGTTTTAGTCCTACTTTGGTCTTTTTCCCTTTACCCATCATATGAAATGACATTTTGGGAAATTCAATACCAAAATACACTTCCCGCCCTTAAATCTCTTCAAAATCAAAACATCCCATGTTTAAAGGGAGGGAGGGAGTATATCAAAAGTTGTACAAAAAATGTGATAAGAATATTTCATCAAATAATCAATGAAATCACACAAATAAACAAAAATTCTTACAATTTTGAATAATAATGTATGTAAATCATTTAGGAATGGAGAGAGTAACTTTTTACTAAAAAGAACAAAGATTTTTTTGGACTAACAAAAATAAAAAGAGGAAACGTTTTTAAAGACAGAACAAATACTATCAGTAGAACACATGAATAATTACGTTTAAATGACTCAAATTATTTTAGTAAAATTTGCACTGAATAAGACTAAAACATAAGTCATTTTCCAATGAAGGACTTAATTTTTTATTACCTAAATAGGACTTAATAATGACTAGTGAGAATAATAATGTCCAAGTGATGTTGGACATTTGGTTAAATAATGAGTAATAGATAATGACCAATAATCCTACATTGGGAAATATAAAAACATATGGTCCTATATTGAGAAAGGCATCATGTTTTAGTCCTATTTAGGTAAATTACCCTTCTATATATTTGGATATATACGAGAGAGATATATTCGGTCAAAAGTGATAAATTTTGACCGCAAATTAAATAAAAATGATATTATATATTGATAGATTTATCATATAAAATATTTTCAAAATGATATAGGTCAAAAATTGATAATGATTGACTGAAAAAAGTCATAACGAGACAAATATTCTGAGACAGAGGTAGTATATCAGCATGGCATGGACGGTATATCTGGTCCACACTGTTGTGTCGCTTAAAAAAGATTATAACTACGTATTTTAATTAATTTTAATATAGTTTCGGATAAAGTGTATCTTATGCAAATCACGACGATTAGATATATTTATGTTTAAAAAAACCAAACTAAATAGGAGTAGTTAATTACGGAGTAAAAAACAACAATTAATTGATGTGCCTTTGTGTATTAACATGTACCTTCATTAACCTCGTTGCATAATAATTGCTAACATTTTTTTGTACGTTCATCAATGCACAAGTTAAATCATCAATATTATCTATTACAGTAAAGTTAACGGTTAATTCAATCCAAATTCAATAATTAAACACTAACAATTGATTGATGTGCGCCCTTCACCACAAATAAGGAGTGTTGTTTTTTTATATATAGACAGAAAACATAACAAAATAAGTGCATCCATGCCACAGACTCCACTTATATTATTGGGTGCAGAATGAACGAAAAAGGGTAAGGCCAAAATGAATGCATCCATTAATATGTAGATTAATTAAGCTTGTATGGCTTGCATGTTTGTATCTTTTGGATATTATTATTATTATTACCATTATTATGTGTGTTTAAGTTTGTGTTTGGAAGCATGCATTTAACATAATGCGGGACAAGGTTAAAGTGATCATAATCTTTGCTCAAAAGCCTATACAACATTATTGGCATTAGAAAAATCATAAGGGCCGAGACTGAAAAAATTGATCGGAAACCGACTTAGATTGAGACAAGAAAGATTGGAATCAAGTAGTCTCTGAGACTAATCTAGTCCAAGGCTAATAGTTTCAAATAATCCTTGGTATGTAGAAAATTCTACACATCTACTAATTTTTAGAATTCCCTAGAATTATTCCTTTCACGACTCTTTGGAAATGTTGAATTAATATTCTAACATAAAATAACGCAAAAACCTTTGAAATTTTAATCACCTTTTACTAAAACAAAAAATAAAACTCACTGCACTAAATAATTACATCATCAATTCATCATCATCTTCTTCACATACCATCTTTTTTTCTTTTTAAAATGTTGAATTTTTTTCAAAATAATCATAGCCTTGTACAAGGGGGGCCAGCTTGTCTCTTAAAGCAAAGAACTAATGTGAAATTAGTGCACAAAGACTGAGAATGCGCGAAAATTTTAGTGGAAGCACCATTCCTCATAAATGTGTTGGACTTCGAGACAACTATATATCTTTCAAAAGAAATCACCATTTATAAAATAAAACATAGAGAAAGTATTAAAATTGGAGTTTTATTTTTTATTTTCATAAGTATGATTTCATACTGTGGTATTGTAAATGTACATTTTATTATATTTTTTGATTATGTACATGTTCATGATTGTTACATACATATATTTTAATTCTTATTTCAGAAATAAAAAATAGGAACTCCTATTTTAATATATTTTCAATGTTTTACACATACTTTAATTTAGTCTTTTTCCCTTATCTTAAGCACAAGACTTCTATAAATACTACTTCGTAGTATTATTGATAATTTAAAAATAATTTTACGACCTAAAATTTACAAGAAAATGACGTTTTGAAAAAATGCATTATATCCCACATATATGTGCATGCTAGCTTCTTATCCACATTATGTTTTTTCATTATTGACATTATAAATCCTATTTTTCATATAAATAAAATGAACCTAGTATTTTGATATATTGAACATGTTTTAGTTCTAGTTAAAATCTTCCCCGTTAAAAATAAGGTTTGACTTTATATAGTTTAATTTAATAAATTGTACTATACCCTAAGAAATTGAAAATTTATGTATATAATTTATTTGGAGGATCCGAGAGAAATGTTGTTGTAAATAGCTATTAATCTTTTTCTGTTGTGAAACAAAAAATGAAAAATTTATTTGAAAAGGACAAAAAAGAAAATAAAAATATTTTTTTGAGGAAGGAGAGAGTATTGAGACGAGTTGACTATGTCAATTCCACAAGCTAGGCATATAACAAAATGACAAAGTGACATTTAATGCTCAAAGAAGCAAAAGGGTTTGCAAATCTTTAACTCTTTGTCCTCTTCTCCATCGTTTCAAGTTGTTTCCAAGCATATATCATCCCAACACAACAGGTTTAGCCTTTGAGTCTTTGATTAATCCCCCAAAAAAATGCACATCCAACCAAAAAGCCAAGTGAAATCCGATCCTCGCCGGGACAAAGAAGACGTGCTTGATTTGAAAATACTTTTGAAAACTCTTGTGGTGGTTTTGTTTTGAAAATGTAGTTTGATATATTCTAATTACTCACCAAACCCTTACGGTCATGAGTTCAAACTTCACTATCTGCCACGAGACTTTCGGCCTTAATCCAAAAAATTGTTCGATCAGGATTAGTCGAATTTTGTCAAAGGCGGATCTTGTCATCTAACAAAGAAATTTCGTTTTGTTCTCAAAAAGGGTTCTAGGTACAAAGATTATCATCTTAGCATATACTCCCTATGCCGTCCTAAAAAGACTATTCCGTTACAGATTATTATATTTGCCTAAAATTATGAGTATTGAGTAAAAAAAAAGTTTGCGGGGCCGGGGAGAGGGGAGGGCATGGCTCAACTTGCAAGACAAAGGATCTATAAGAGGTAAGGCTCGAGTTTGTGCTAAACATAGGGGACTCTTGAAGTATCATATATATACAGATTACATCTTTTACTAGCTAGTCTGTGATTAAAGATTTGAAGGGGCTTCGGTGATAGGGCTCATCCTTTTCTTTAGTAATGAGCAAAAAGAAAAAAACTGGGATGAAAGCACCATGTACTACATCTACCCGTGAATATTTTTAGAGTCAGAGATAATATGTACTCCCTCCGTCCTAGAATGATCTTTTTAGTTCGGTTTACGATGTTTGACTGAAACTATTTTCAATTCAACTTATTTGATTATAGGTATCAAATTTAAAAAATAAAAATTATATACGGAATGTTTTAAAACTGCATCAAAAGTTCTACAAAACAAGTGATAATACAACTATATTATTTTATTTAATACTCCGTAACTAATAACAAAAATAATTAAAGAAAGTGATTAATATTTGACAATGGGAATAATATTTGACAATGCAATAGTATTCCATCATGTTCTAAGCGTGCTGCTATGCAATTGCTTGTGAGCATCAACTAATTACCATCACATTAATGCACTAAATAGTGATGGTTCTGTCCGGTGGTGTATGTGGGACACACCACTCCCCCATAGTTCCCAAAAAATGGTTGATGTTGATTTAGGATGGTTGACTGATTTTATATTAATTCAATTCATTTATTTTTTTATTTTTTAAAAGAGATCCATTTTTGACCAAACGATAAAATAAGAAAGTGTTAAATTATAATTAACTTTCATTTTTATTCTTGATATGATGAGTATAATATCAAAATTTTCTATAAACTTTGAAATGCATCTAAAATTATACTCCAATGTTAAATCAAAAATAAACTTTAATTCAAAGTCTAAAGCCCCAACATAAAGCTAAAAATGCTGCTAAACTCAAACACATAAAATCCAAAATAGAGCTCAAAT